GATTTTTTAGATTTGAATTGCAGTTGCATAATGAAGTATCTTGCTGAATAAGGACTTTGATACGGTCTACTGTTCCAAGTCTCATCGTCTTATTAAGTAACTATGTAATTATAAAGTGTGGTATGCCAAATGTGCTGCAAACAGAAGCTGTGATTGTATCTATGTCTGAAGGCATAGAAGAGCGTAAGCGTAATGTTGCTGGAGCTGACGTGTTTCTCCTTCCTAGGCTCCTATCCAGCAATTTGCAGACAAACTTAGTGGCTACTTCGTTCCTTCTATTGTGGCTGTCTCTGTGGTTACCCTTTTTGCCTGGATTATAATTGGATTTGTGGATTTTGAAATAGTAGAAAAATACTTTCTGGTAAGTAAGTCGTCTTAAACACCTTCTGAAATATTTAAAAACTAGTTAGCCTACAAGTCTGTTAGACTGCAATGGTTCCCTTTCTGAATTATCCTTGCAGGCAGTTAGTGACTATAGATATTTTATTATTATTGTTATTATTATATTTTTCATATATTTTTACACTGTATCACTCCTACATTTATACTTAAAGAGAATTTGTAGTAATTAGTTAACTCCTGAAAGTTAGTATTAGGGGAAAAAAAAAGTTAATTAAAAATAAAAGTAAATACTAAGCATCAAAATTTCCCAATTTCTGTCCGTTCTCTGTGGGGAAAAGAAGTTCCCACACAAGCTTCAATTCTGCATCTGGTTTTGTTAGCATAGCTCTGTGTAAATTCGTCTTTGAAATCAGTGGAATTGATTGTCATCACAGATGCCAGAGGAGGATCAGGATCCTAACTTGTAGCTTAGGGTTGCTTAGATCACAGGTTTCTTGGTTCATGGCTATTTCTGATTAGAATTTATTAGTTTCCAGGAAAGCAATCTTCATATCCTCTTTCTTTGTTATTGTACATATTGCTAATAGAGTATCTTTTATTGCATTACAGAGTACAAGAGTTTTCATAGCACGTGGTAACTTATTTAGGAAAATGTCCTATAAATAAAACAGATCATGGGTATATGCAGTATAGAACAGAACTTAGTCATTAATTTAGTCATTAATCGTAGCTTTGCATAATGTGCCTGTGCTTTACTTTTAAATTTTAATACTTTAGCTTTTATATTTGCAGATTTTTTAACAGCAAAGGCAACGTGTAGTTGACTACATTGTTTCTATTGTTCAATTTCTTCTATTACTAAAATACACTTCTGTCACTAGGGTTACAATAAGAGCATTTCTGCAGCCGAAGTGATAATCCGCTTTGCTTTCCAAGCCTCCATCACAGTCTTGTGTATTGCATGCCCCTGTTCTCTGGGATTAGCCACCCCGACAGCTGTGATGGTTGGTACTGGAGTAGGAGCTCAGAACGGCATACTGATCAAAGGAGGAGAGCCATTAGAGATGGCACATAAGGTAAGAAATGTGGGTTATTGTTACAAGAACTTTAAAGACTGGGATTGGCGGCATTTTGCCAATTGCTGCCTGAGCAGATCGTTACGTGTACATCAGTACATGTTAGTAAGAGATGCATGATCGGTACATGTTAGTAAATTTGATGGTTTTCTGAGGAAGCTATATACTAAAGCTTTGCTCATTGAATGAGGTCTTCCTGTTTTGCTGCAGGTAAAGGTGGTTGTATTTGACAAAACAGGTACTATCACTCATGGGACTCCAGAAGTGACGCAGGTGAAGTTTCTAGTGGAGGGTAACCAACTACCACATAATAAAATGCTGGCGATAGTGGGGACTGCAGAGAGTAATAGCGAGCATCCTCTTGGAGTAGCAATAACAAAATACTGCAAAAAGGTAAGTTATTTATACAGGAAAAGAGTAGGTTGTGTTATGGAAGAACCTCTCTTGCAGTACTTACTACGTATGAATAGTCTTGAGTTATTTAGAAAGTAACTGATGTATTCCATTGGGAAAGCTGAAAATTGTGGAGCCACGTAAATCACTTAATATGATATTAGATGTACTGGATACTCAAACTTAAGTTTTGATGATTGATTGAATATTTCTGCTCCTGCTAGCATTAGTTTGACTGCACTTTATTTTGCGGGGTTTGTAAATGCGGCATGCTTTTATATATTTAAAAATTTTCTCAGTTTGCATCCTTTTTCTTTAGGAACTGGACTCGGAAACCCTTGGGACGTGTACAGATTTTCAGGTAGTTCCAGGCTGCGGCATTAGTTGTAAAGTCACCAATATTGAAGCATTACTCTACAGGAAAAATAAAATGGTTGAAGAAAACAATATTAAAAATGTGACACTTGTGAAAATTGAGGAAAATATGGATGAATCGGTGCAGCCTGCTTTGATTATTGATGCTGGACTACCAAGTAAGCTAACTCTGGTTTATAGAATAAAATGGATAATTTTTGCTTTTGTGTCTTTAGGATCCTTAAGAATGAGGTCACTTTTTTCTGCCCTGGAGAACCGGATTCATCAAGGCACACGTGAAATAGTTGGTCATGCTTTATTTCATGCTCACACATCACTCAGGACATTTTGGTTAAATGCAATTTGAAGTTGTGTTGAATATGGAGCTGGAAAATCATAGAAGAATCATCTCTCACCTCTCTCTGTGTTTACTTGGCTTCATCCCAAGTTACCATTTGCTAGCCAAAATTATGTATATTTGCACAACTGACTGGTTTTCAATCAAGAACAGCTCATTGTTAGATCTTTCAATTATATTGGGCTGTACATATAAATTAGAAGCATTGAGAAAGGGACTTGGTCCTTTGACCTGTGATTCTTGGTCTACTGATGTGGTAACTACCGATTACTGGACAAATGTCAGTGTCTTTCTTGTCAAGAACACGTGAAAAGATTGGTAGGGCAGAAAGTGTTGAGGAAGACTTTCTTTCTGTTTGGATTCTCTGTAATGATATTTCAGTGCATACTGGGAGAACCTGGTTAGGATTAGCTGGAGGGAAGCTTCCTGGTTATCCATGTGATGGTAGGATTGTATTTTCTTCCTTCAGCTACTATGACTTCTCAAAAATACTCTGTTCTCATTGGGAACCGGGAATGGATGAACAGAAATGGCCTCCTCATTAAAAATGAAGTTGATAAAGCCATGACGGAACATGAGCGGAGAGGGCGCACAGCAGTTCTAGCAGCTGTTGATGGTAAGTTCAATGCTGTCGTTTTTTTTATTCAGAGGTTGATTTGTCACTATTGAAATAGAAATTAATAAGTAGTAATGTCATAGCAGTTATACCTGAAGCAGCATAATGGGATGAAGAGAGATCATTAGCTAGTTTTATAACACTTCTCATATGAGAAAGACCTCTTCCTGCCTTTCTTAGTTGACAGGAGACTTGGACACAATGCAGAGACTTCAAAGAGAGCAAAGGGGAAGAAAGGAGAAAAAAAGAATTTTTTGTGTTGTTGGACAGTCCGTGCTCTGTATTGCCTTAAACATTGCTGCCCTGATACCTGTTCTCATTCTGCTTTTTATAGTCAATATTAACTGTTTCTGGAATTGGTCTTACTGAGGAAAAAAAAGTTATGTTTTTTTCGTAAAGCAATAAAGACCTTTATT